TGTGCTTGATCGAGTCGAGTCGGTCAAGTTTCTCGGTATCCCTTTTAGTCAGTCCCCAGTCAACAATGACATTGAGCACGGTAGAATCCTGCACACAACAAGAAGCCACTTATAGTGAAGGTTTCGCTGACAGGAAACTGCATGGTATATAGTCTTAGGTAGAGGCGCGGATGTTACTTGGGAACTCGGTGAATTATTGTGACCATTCTTATCAGATACCGCCCTGACTAAATCACCTTATTGGCGCTGGTTGCAGAGGTCTCTCTCTTCTTGGTGGTCAGCTTATTCATATGCAAAGTGAAGCAAAGCAAAATTTAGCCTCCCACCAACTTTGCGCGCGTAATGATTCGCACATGTAATGCGCAGTTGGGTAAAACTACCGATACACTGTGCGTTTTAAGAGCTACCACAATGGGTGCACAGTTTTAGTTAAACCAAAGTTTTCATTTTGTCGTAACGGGATAAGTACGTATTACAGTGTACGTCGCCAATCGAAAAAGTACTAAGCGCAGCCGTAACATATGGAGACTTAATGACGTTTCATGATCAGTCCGAGGTACAGATGTAAGTGCGTACAAGAGAGGCCAATGAGATCATCAAGTTGCTGGCTTCTTGCGATGCACCATATAGGGATGTATGACTATCGATTGTTCAGCAAATATTCACGTATCATTTTGACTCAGCTTCAATTATACTATCAATCTTTCTGAATACGAGCAATGAGGTATGGTTGCTCAAGACTCTTCCCGTTCGGCGCCTGAACGGTGAATAGTGGGCCCATTCTCTGCGTATTAGCTAACGCCGAATCCAAGAATCAAAGTTGATTATGTGCGAGGTGCGCGGCAATCCCATTGCAATTATAGTCAGCATGTATGCAAAAGCAGTGACTGACGCAGTCGAAATAATATTGTACTTTGTAAGACTAGTAATGGACTGTTAAGAGCTTAGCATTAGCTGTCTAGATCTTCCAAGTGAGAGTCGAAATAAGCAGCCCGGAATCTCTTGCTCATTTGGTGTTTCAAGTAACTTGAATACTAGGTATCGCTCTAAAAAGTGGATTATTATCGAACTGGAATACGCTGATAAGTCACCGTCATGATCATCCAATGGGGTTTCTTGTATGAGCAAGCTAACTTTGCCTTCCCCGTTCTGCATGGCAAAGTCAGCATCTCATTTATGTGTTATATTTTTGCCAAGAATAAAAGCAAATCCAACTTGATGGGAAGTTCACGCATATGAAATTTTGATGTTTTCAGAAAAATTGAGCTTTTAAACCACGAATAGACGTGTCTGAAGACTTTTTCCCACTAATTGGGTGCTTATTAAAGTAAAAAAGATTTGTAAGCAAATAAAAGATTGCGACTTTAAGCGTTCATGATTTCGAAGGAGCCTCAAAATGTCTACGACGACTGGCATTGCTACAATAGACTATGATTAAGGTCTGTGCATCAAAACCAAAAACGTACATAATGAGTCAAACTATGAGCTTGGAATGAGAGAGAAATAATCTTACAGAGCTATTAGTGATCAGCAAATGGGGAGACTTAACATGCAGTACGTATATTTTAGAATAACAAGACCGGTAATTTTAAATTATGCATGTGCTGAGAAAAATTGGTTCTGTGTATGAACGACTCACGAGTCAAGATTATATAGCAAACAAACGAGCCTTATTCACTCACAGATTCTACCCATCACTCAGAAAGCAGGCACACTCTACAATGATGACATAATTTCAACCAAAAGACGCCAATGCCCAAATCATCAGCGTACAGATCTATTTCAAACGTTCGTATAATTTCTTCCCTCTCTATAAAGATTAAAATCTCTTGTATAGGGGTTTGTCCCCTCTCTCTATGGCCTGTTTTGGCCTCGATCGTCTCTGCTTCCAATGCCTGCCAAAGCTTCTGGGTCTTCACTTGTGACTCGCACTCGAGCGCACCAAGCTTTGTCCCAAGCGGCTCATAGTCGTCCGTTTCGCGTGGGAAGCGACGGTTTGCCGCTGTTGCCGTGCCACGATGCGCCTGTGTGCACCGTACCCACCTCATCGCCTTCCCCACCTGCTGTCGCGCTGTTCGGCCACGTTGACACGAAACAGAACGTGCGCGCGCAGCTACTTGCGCAATACAGTCGCTCGCAACAGCTTGAGCAGGTGAATGAGATGACACTACGCATCGACACAGAGCTTGAGCTATTGCGGCGTAGCTGCTTCGCCGCGCGCAACGCACTGTGGGCAAACGTTACACCAGACGAGTTTGAGTTCCAGCCAGTGCCTAGCGACACGTGGACGCCCCAGCCAGCTAATGACAAGCTTTCGTTGCGCAAGATGAAGATAAATGGAGCGCTGGATGGTAGCGGAAGAGAATTCTATCCGCCTATTAAGACGCATGTCAAGGAAGTGGAGGCCGTTGAGTACGTACGTGATCGGCCTTGGCCTCCTCAAGAGTACGCATTAAAACCAGTAGCAAAACCGATGAGGGGTAGAGGTGGTAAGCGCAAAGCTGCACCAATGGCAGCGGTACTTGAACCGATGCCGCTGCTAGCTAGGACGTGCCGAGAGTGCAAGACCCAGTCAACACCACTGTGGCGCACACACACAAAGACAGTGAAGATCAGGAAGCATGTGCTAAAAGAGAATGCATTCAAAAACGTTGCAACAGATTTGGCTAATGCATTTGTAGCACAGAATATGGCCATGATGACACCGCAAATGCTGGAGTTGAAAACGGTAAACGAGAAGATTGATGTTGATGTGTGCTTGGCATGTTCATTGAAGCTGAAAAGAGCGGATTTGTTTGATAAAAAACGTCTTGAGAAGAAGCGACGAGAACGACAGAAGAAGGGCCATGTAGCGTCAGCAGCAGTGGGAGAAAAAAAGCGGAATCGGCAACAGATATCTCTTAAGAAGCATAAGAAACAAGAGGTATCTACACAACAAGGAAATGGAACTGATCGTGAAATAGAGGACGAGAAGAAAGATTCTTCGACTCCAGTGGTAATGCTCAAATTTTCAAAAGAAGAGATTAAAGCTGCAACGGGATCGTCAAGAGAGCGACTGGAGAACCGCAAACATAGTAGGAAAGATAAAAAGAAGAAGAAAAAACACCGTCGTAAGCGCGAACAAGTGGATGACACAGAATGCGATTACGCGACTTTAAATCCGTCGTCTGAGCAGATAAATGGACATGAATATGCGGAAGGTGCAGTAGAATCAGGCATCACTTCGCAAGATTTGGCGCTCGAAGACGATGCTTCCACACGTTTGAAAGCGCTGAAGGTTGATGCTGAACCAGAACCTATAGAAAGCGGTTTTCAAGAGGAAGAAGAGGAAGTTGCCGTGCCTGCAAGATCTTCCTCTCGAAAGAGGAAGAGTGTGCAATATACTGAATCGCCTGCTGTGGTGGAAACATCTGTATCTGCTTCAAAGAAACGCAGAACTTCTCTATCTCGTACATCGCGATCAACTCGAGCGGCAAGTGCAGCAGCTGCTCCAGCCGCGGATACTCCAGCATCTACTGGTATAAAACGGTCACGATCGAAGAAGGAGCTCACTCGTGAACGTGAGCTTCGTGCGCGTGGTCAATATTGCCCCGTATGTAATGAAGTCTATGAAGATGATGATCAAAGTACTTTTATTTGCTGCGACTCATGCGAGTTGTGGGTTCACGGTGCCTGCGACCCAAGTCTTAGCGCGTACGTTTTAATGTTTTTTATTGTTAGAAATGTTGTACGAGGCTTATGGAACTATGAATTGATGGAATTTTTTGCAGAGAACTTATTGCAGCCATGGCTAAAACCGAAGACAAATATATTTGTCCGTTATGTGCTGGACGGTGAGCAAAACCCAAGTGGAAATAAATGCAGAGAAGCTGTGCAGCTTAGCGATCGAGATGAAAAATCTACAACTGCGACTGTAACGCCTTAACATTATTTGGACTTGAAATATAACCCAATTCTGGTCAAATCGATACCGGTATGCTTAATAGAAATTATGTACAGATACATTTGTATATGTAAGATGATAAGCAAAGCTCAACCATAGACTTTGTCTCAATGTATGCTCTGCGTCGAATCCGTCGCCTCTCTACGGCAGCTCCGCGCAAAGGTATGCCGTTCCTTCGAATGCTAGCTTGATTACCTGTTATCACATCTGTGATTTTTAATCCTTGTCCAGAATATCCAACGTCCTTTATCTCGCATCTGCGCACACAGAAGCTTAACGTGTTCAACATTGGCGTGGCATTTCTGACGCTATCCCTGTCGTCTCAGATGGTTTCGTACAAACAACGTTTCGAGGCAGCGGTGAATGACAAAGAGAAGCTTGTTCAAAAGGTAGAAGTGCTGGAAAAGCTCGTATTGGATCTAGGCGGGCATTTGCCGGATGACGATTCTAAAAAGGTAGATGCTATGGCCCTGCACGCTCGTGATGATACGACCGAGGCCCTAGCTTCTTCATCAGCTGAAGAGATCAAGAGCAAGAAATACAAGCTTATTTAGATAAAATATAGGCAGGATTAGTAGCAGTTGCGCCGGACATAATGGGTAAATAGCCTCATCTGCATTTTTAATGGATAACATTCTAGATTTGATACTGCCGTTGGAATGCATTGGTATGCTCCTTATCTGCTTCATTGCGTCATTTCTTTATGGTAGACTGTAGTGAACGTCGTGATGAGATGCTGTCCATGCGATTCATCTCGTTGACAGCTGTGAGTACCTCGTTAATGTTGGTCTCAAGCACCATACCACCCATGACAATCTCATCCAGAGCATAGTGGACCTTGTCACTATGAAATATCAGGTCTAGCTCGCACACGTTCTCAAATATCTTGTCTAGTGTTTCCACGAAAACTAATTGAAACATACTTTTTCAATATACATCTTTCTCAGCCCGTCGTATAATGTGTGTACCTTGAATGAGATCTAAGATCCCCAAATCGCTCTCTTGTTTGTCCACCGCAAAAACAAAATACAACGTCGCATAATGGCGATAAATGAGCTTGACGCCGTCTCCCCAATATCGCACCCTGTCCATTGGAAATGTATAGCTAATGTTGGAGATTGCATTCAAGAATATCTTACAACCAACTGAGGAATACGTACGTGCCTTCGAGGAAGTTGCATAACGTGTCGGGGCGCTTTGACACTTGTGTGTAGATATCACGGATCACAGCTTGCTGCTCTGCATCTGGCTGGCAAAGTTGATCCAAATAATTAGCTTAAGAGACGCTAAGGCTTTTAAAAAGCCTTTCAACCGCACCACATGCTCATAAAACTTGACAATACGCGGCTTGCCATGGTTATTCACGATGAGGATTCCTTTGATCATCTTCTTGTTCTTTAAATCGAATTTTTACAGCTTCTACACTTTTATCTTTTTTGAATATCACGCATAATTCAATTTTAGTTTTTTGTGTACAGTGATAGATTACCGAGTGATTTGCACGAAAGAAGCTTTAATTTAATGTGTACACATTGACAAATGCACAGGATGGGTTTGTATACTACACCCAGGAACGTGGAATACTGCACCGGGACTACCGTATGATTTGCACGGAAAAAGCTTTGACTCAATGAGTCCACATCGACAAATGCACAGGATGGTTTACACTACACGCAGAAGCAGAATAGAGAACCTCCTAAGTGACTAAATACCTCAGTTCCTTCGTATAAGAGTGATTTTTAACGAGTGAGGTCGACTTTAGCCTAATTTGTGTCAGTTTGTTCAATGATAGATCTACATATGTTACATTCCATTTTAATTGTCAACGGACCACTTCGCTCCGCAGCCAACGTTCTCACTAGTTTTACCTCTGAGCAATGCACAAAAGTATAATGTGTACGTACACCACAATACGGTACAAGAAGCAAGCATCCGGGTTCAAGCCCCGCTTGCTCGCCTTACAATCCGCCTTCACTCGCGGTGCTACCGGCACCAACAAGACCTCATCATGTATATTCTACATGCCAGTTCTTAAATTACTATCTTCTCGCGACACGTCCTTTGCAACAAATGGATACCTACCCCAGCTATGCTTTCAGGCGCCAACCTCATGGTTTTCGATCTAGGTGCATCTTGCCGATATATACTTTTAATGCGTTGACCTCTCGCGATCGAGCAGTCGATTTTGGTCAAACGTAACCTTGTGCACCTCTATCCATCACCATCAATGACAAAAAAAGCATTTTCCGCTCCCAAATTGTAATATTTCTACTCTTGCTTCATATACCATCGGCAACAAAATTTGAATTATACAGTCACGTAGGGTGTATCAGTGAATAAAGAGCCACCGGCCAATCAGCCTTCGCTGTCTTTCACATCGACGATCTTCTGTTTCTAGAAATCATCCGATTGTGGTTTTGATCCTGCTACTACTTCGTGGTTGCGATGGGAGCTCGAAATCTCGGCAAAACTCTGATTTCAGGGTTGTATTCGTCGATATTCGGTAAATAGTCATTAATTCATTCATGGTTCGCTATCGACAATAACAGCAGTGACGTTGCCTTCATGGCTTGGAGCCCATTCTCGCGTCTGGTAGTCAAATCCTTGATTCTATTTCGACCTCGAGCTTCATGATGACGAACATGCCAATACTTGCCTCAATTGATCTACAGTTCATATGAACAACTTCTCGTGCGCATAAGACCATGATAGCACTATATACGATAAAAAAGAAGACTTGTTTGCTACATCAATTATTCTTCAAAACCATTCACAAATGCACCTCCTTGGATCAGCCTGCAACTGCAGTCGGCAACCCTAGCTGTAACGGGGTTACACGTACCCTTGTATGAAGGTATGGGTAACACAATATCGTGTGACCGTACAAAGGTGTGGATTTCACAAGTTGGTGGAATCACACAATGGTGTGGCTACACAGTAATAAGAAGCCACTACGTGGCAGGATAGACAGTAGACATGCATATAAATTGGACTTTTTAATTAGGAAAACCAAAGGTTTTAGATTGGCGGCTCTACCGCAAGAAAAACAGTTAAATACAGTCTCAATTTTGAACGGAAGAGCGTCTTTGCCTTGGTTAAGGTTTTGAAGTACTCTTGGAGATAACGGATTGCGATTCGCCACTTTTGTACTGGTTCTGGTATAATACGTAAGGTCGGTGCCTTAGCTTAGCTTCCTCAAAGCAGAGAGCTACGACAGCCCCGCTGCACTAATTCCCTAATTTTGACTATTTAGGCCAAAGAAACTAACGGTAAGCTGCAAAACGAGCATTGTGCAAAACAGCTAGCATCGCGATCAGCTAAATACAAGGGTTGTATTAAGCAGTTTGCAACCACTAACGGAGGAAAGGCGCTATAAAATATATAGATAAGCTGGCTCTCTCCTCATTAACATGTGCAGCTATTGACACCGTCTCATTAGGAGATCATAGTGGTAGCTACAATTGATCGATACCCTTTAATTTTTTGTGCCAATGAATATGAGATTCTAAAATTAATCTTTACCGAATGATTTTTTTTACTTTTGGTTAAATTACTTGCCGGATATCTCTGATTTATTTCTTTAAGCTTTTGAGACCGAATGCGCTTGATATTCATTTTTGCACCTTACCCTTACTTGAATGAGCATAATTCAAATTAGGTCTTCTCCGTAGCGTGTTACCATGGGTCAACGAGCCCTTAAAATTGCGTATGGGGCTTTTAAGCAGATTGTAGCATAGCTATAGGATAAAATTATTGGTTAGAGCTCAAATTCAATGCTTCAAACTCAAATGGCTCGTATAAATGGGATCGTGGTTTGGCTTTAAAACGACCGCGTGTCACACAGGATGTTCTCGCATTCTCTTTGGTATAGTGTGAACGGTCCGATTCAGCATGCTATAGGGTAGATTATTCACATTCCGCTACTACTTTTCCGAGACAGCGTATTCATGTGTGTTCCATCTGCCTCTGGTATCTGCATGTTGCGTTTGCATACCGTGGCTCTCAGAAATAGCTTTAAGTTGCCGGCTCGTGATCGATATTTTCAAATACATTAAGTAAATATGATACGGCCTTTCGTGCTTGTCGAGTATACGCTAATACCAACCAGGCTGATGTCAGAAAATCGAATCGTATCGATAAGCTTTATCCCACCACGACCTAAATCACTTTATGGCACGATAAAGTAGCAAAAGGGCCCTCCAAACCATATCTATGAAGAAAAAGAACTTTTTCGAATAAGCACATTGTAATAAGTCCAGACTCAACGAGTGGTAGCGATTCGCTTCAATCCCGCGCATTCCCTGCCACACGACCAAGGCGTGATATCTAACTATCGGTCTGTAGATAATCAGCGAGGGATATGTTTGATCTGGCGTCCAGTACCTTAAATTTCCGCCGATATTGGCACCGCTACAATAACGAGATGAGCCATATTTCTCGGACGGTCGTAAAGACCACCATACTGGTATAAGCGAACGCTCTTTTTGTAAGATTGGAATTTAGGTCTATATCTATGAATTACCAGCATTCATTTGAGTTACAGCTTGAAATTAGGCACTGACGCATGCTACGTGGGCTCCATCAGCTTACAGGTTTCATGCTTGCGCGCAAGTAATATCAATTATACATGTTGTTGGTCTAGCTGTACATAGCGATCACTGCCATACGTTTTCCCCTACTAATTTTGCTACCAAAGAGGGTATCTTGGGCTCGTGCAAATCCTGAACTTTTTAAGTAGCTATCACAACACGTTAAAGGCCATGTAGGTTCCTTGCTTTGAGTACCACCTCGCGTTGATGATAATGTGGGACAATGCTGTAATGCAGCAAGTCTTAACATGAGAGTGATGGAACAAACATGCAATCCAAGCCATCTGATAAAGCAGTATATGATATTAACCTACTCTTTCTTGCACAAATATTATTGTAGATATTACCATATACAATAATATATGTTGCATATTGTTGCTGGTAGCGCATTGTCTGGGCAATGCGACAGCGTGTCAGCCGCCGCATCTAGCTGACCCGTAATTTACATTGGCTTATAGGTTTAACCAGTGTGGAGAAAGGAACAATCTCCTAACGTTTTGCTGACAACATTGATGCATGGCTCAAATAGATCAGTGATGGTCCAAAATTAAACAGATGTAATCTGAATTTGACAATAGCATACTCATTTGAAAGTAACTCCTATTTGTTAACGTAATTGTTGTTCTCGTCCGCAGTAAGCTGAAGGGACACAATCATGGCAACACAACCTTGCATGTTAATATCCATTTGCACGCCTAAGTTTAAGACGGAAGCATCCCGCAAGACATGGGATGTCTGTCGCGGATGTGGTAGGGTTAGAATCAGGGCACACATGCGAATATATTTCACAGCCTTCAAGGTTAGCTCTTCTGCTGCGCCTGAAACCCATTTCACATTCTTTTTTCAAGCTGATTGGTTGGAAGTCTGATATATGCTGGTATGATTACCAATGACAAGTCTCATCGTACGTCTTAAACATGAGAGCTCACAAGAGCCAGCTGCGAAAAGGTCTACTTCTGTCGGTGCTGCTCAATGGGAAAGAAATCATCCACTCCAATACGAAATAGACAGTAGACCGGCGACTGCATTAAATTCTTAACTTAAATTCTAGTGGAGTGAAAAGGTCCCTCAATTAAAACTCAAATGTTCTTGAGGCGCTTCTACAGAAACGTACCCTGGTGGAATTACTGCTCCAATCTGTTGCACACGGGCCATTATATCCCCCAGTGAAAGATGTGTAGTCCGGCGCGGTGATCGTTCTATAAGAAAACAAGCGGGGCTTGTGACAGCAAGAATTGACGGCGTGAAGTTTTCACCATACTTTTAATGACATTATTTGCACTTGCAATGCTTGACGCTCTAGCTGAACGTTTGCTTTTTTAGAGTTAGTTGAAAATCGATGATGATTTTCTTCTTCCTCACCCAGTACGCAAATTGAAATGCTTTACGCGTCAGCACTCTATCCCGCATTCAGTTCAAAGATGCGAGCTTATCCAACCACTGCTACTTTTAATGCAGGCGGTATTTCTGATGGGGTGTGAGTTGTGAGGTCAGTCATCGCTTACGACTTTAAATGGGGACGCGCAGGCGTAGGCGTGATCGCGGCGGCCGAAAATAGATTATTACATTGGTAGAAGACATCGCAACATCTATGCTACTAGGCGGACAAGCTTAGCTCACTGAGCTGGACGTCGTTGTAAATTTTGTTGCGGTGGGCTGTCACAACACTATTAACCGTGGAGTCGGGAATGGAGTGCATAAGTGTGCGAAAAGCAAGCGAGGTACATATAACGCCCCCTTCTTTATCCTTTGGTTATCCGTTAGGCTCCAGATGAGAGCGGAGGTGTCTGGTTTGGGGCTCGGATAGCAGTTGCGACTAAAATGGGAAACACTTCGTCCTCTTCGCCATGAAGGGTCAAAATGTCATCGGTCGCAAGATCCGCACCTTGCTCGAAGGCCCATTAAGATATGTGATGGCTTATATCAGGTATAACGGAATCGAGGATGGTCGTAAGAGTAGGCACTATGGGATGCAGCGAGTAAATAAAAACTCCAAGCGTAGTGGGTGGTTGTTTTCGCACAATGTATCAAAAGTATTAAAGAATCAGTGGAAGTTACATTTGGTGAGGGAGAAGCAACGTGGGACGTACTGCATACCTTACAATTCTATTCAAGAAGCAAAAACTGTAAACTTGTACATTTAAGCTATTGAAGAATCATTACTATTAACAGTAGGCTTTCGAAAAAATGAGATCTGTCATACACAGGGGCTGTCAGCCTCGTATTACACATTACAGATTGTTGTAGCATCGGACATAGGTAGACGCACATGTTAAAGCTATTTTAAATAATATCAGTTTCAAATGCATAGCTCTTGGTATCGCAGAACTAGCCGGATAATTAATTACATATGAGGCTCTTGCCTCCACTCCTGACGAACCAAGCTACGTTTGTTTACAACCGCAGATTCTTAACGTCAGCGTTTTCTGGGCAACGTGCTGCGCAAGTTAGCTTCACTTCAACATGGCCTACTAATGACGCAAGCTAGTTCAAAGTCGAAGTGGGCTTCTCTGTCAGCCCTCCGTGGAAATGATGCGCTTGTCGGTGCGAAGCGCATATTTCCTGTACAAAAAGAGGGTAAAGATATAAACTCCTTCAGAAGCACATTTGGCGTAGCATCAATCCCATTTTTCTAGCTATAGACCTAGAAACTGACAAAAAACATTCTCTTGACAACGCATAGCCATGTCAACACGACGATGCCCGTTTTGAACAATCGGACGATGCTCTGATTTTAATAGCGACAAGGATATTGCGGTACATATCATTGGCGATGTCTTATTCAGTTTGGATGCTAACAAAGACATTTGGGCGAACAGTGCTCTTCTTACTTCAGCGTCACGAATATAGCCCTGGCGTTGAATATTAAGTCAGAATTATGAAACCTGTGTATATTTCAAAATGTCTTAATTGCCCTTTCACACAGATTGTCCTTCCTGCAAAACCATTAAAATGACCGATATCTTAAAAAAGTACCGATTCCATTTAGGCTGTAAGACGATCGCGATATCTTTGATTTCGATTTTACAATCGTCGACAGACTCACCATTTGGTGCAGCGGGAAGGTAATCAGCCACATGAAAGGTCGAATTTGGAATCCGCTGACTATTAATTTTTAATAGTTTGAGCTTATGCTATGTTCTTCGATCTTGTCGCATATAGTTACCAAGTACAGTGCTGATATGCTATGTTTTTTCGTTCCTGTCGCTAAAAACTTTCAGATTAAGTAATGGCTTTGATACTTAAGGAATAAGCAAGAATTTGCAACGACGATGATGGCGCAGCTTTCGTGCCGATACGCGAGCAAAATCAGGATAAGTCCATGGATTGTGGAGAAAAAGAAATTGTTCCAGAATCGCGTTATTGGCATAGTATAAGTAACTCGCTTAACCCCCATCTATTCGTGAATCAAAGAATGTCTCTGACTTTAAAATCGCCAGTTCATCTAGTATTTTCATACCCTGATTTCTCTTCTATCACAACACAGATTTAATGTATCTTCACTTATACTCAATCGTCATACGCCCACCAATATTTATCAATTGGCTGTTTTGGTTGTGAATAACGAATACGTATCACGACCATATGACATTCGATTCTGATGGGGCCAGTGTCATACTCCAAGGTGTTGTGATAGAGATTGACCGTATTGTAGCATTTCTATGCTATCGAATACGATGCTTGTAGCACCAATTCAAATGCGTCGCGTATGTCAACCTTAACGGTACATTTCAAGGGGAGCCTATGTTGGATCAAAATTACAACTTGCTAACGAAAAGAATGAACACTTCAAGTAATCAAAAGAGGTTTTGTACACAAAGGTTACGATTTGTTGGATTGCGATAGGTTTTGGGCTGAATGTCAGTTAGATAATAGAAGACAACGTCGAGTGGTTCATTGTTCTCCGTAAGTCCGAATCAATCACAGCTACCTGACCTATCATTACATCCTTTTCAGCGTTCTAATTGTATGTCGACGTCAGGTACAAGGCTGTACAAATTTGATGAATGGTGAGCGAGCAAAGAACTGAGATCGCAAGATTACTTCGGATGCTGATTGACATGACAATGAATCTTTAAGCGGTATAGATGAATACTTGAGATGGTTCCTTTTATTATTGACGACCTTGAGGCACGGGAAAATCTACACGCCAGACATATTTGCGATAAATCTCTCAAAATCGGGAGAACCGTCGTTCCTGTAGTTGGACTTACTTAACTGTTTTTGATGGGTGGACGAACAACCTTAAGTGCATTTAAACTCCCACCCACAGCTGACGCAAATTCAACCGGATTAATCCTCAACCAGTACGCGATAAAAAGCATTTTTATTATGATATTTTGAAATGTATTTCGTATGCCACGTCAAGATGCGTATGAGGTTGCTAGAGGTTTATAGCAGGGTATACATAATAAAAATGACAACTTCTTTGAGCGAAAAGTGTGCGTGCTAGCTGGATAATATACGCGATAAATACCTGTGCGTAAACATCGCACACGCAAACAAGCATAAGGCATATTTCTCACATGGTTATCATGCTTGTGCAAGCTACTTGTAATAACGATCCCTCTCAAATAAGCTGTATGTCTTTCGCGAGGTCAATAAATGGAAATCATGGCAAGAAGTGATCTTGCACACGGAGTAGACAAAATAATAAGGAATAAGGCAAGCATGAAGCGTGGTTTGAATGCGACAATCTGTTTTCAGTGATGACTGAGCTACTAGTTCAGACGACGACACCAGCAACTAATGGCACAAAAGAAAGTAGCAACTTCTAGTTCATTATCATCCGATCAAAAATCAGGCTAACTTACACCATTTTCTTGATATAAATGAAGCTAATGTCAGCGTCATGTTTCCGTGGCATCCGTCTTGTTATTGCCAACCGACACAGCCCTGCCAAACAAAATCTCGCGATTTTGCATATGCAGCGTATTTGATTTAGATTTAAAGGCTCAGTCGCCTTCGCTAGCCGGAATTGAAGAAAATGAGCGCGATCGCAAAGCGAAGCAAAGCAAGATTGGCCTCACAATGAACATGAAAAAAAACTAAAAAGTAAATAGTGAAGTCGTTTGTCTGGTACCTGAAAAAGTATAGAATAGATCTGAGGTATCAGGCATGCCAACATGTGCTGATATTATAGATTGTGTTCATCAGTGATGGCAACGCACTCTAATATATTTACCGATGGACTCCAAACACTTTTCACTGCAACCTGCGTTTGCAATGATTATCTACTCAATGTATGCCTGAATACAAACTCTCCGTATTTACCATCATCTCTATTTCTGGACTCCCAGTCAGTTTTGATCCGAGAGACTGGGGGGGGATAACCGGAATCCTCAGATTCTGTACCATTTTGTGCTTGTGACAAGCGAGGTATTACAAATGATATTGTACAAGAAACAATATCTGATATGTACACACGTCATGCCTTCTTTCCAATTGTATCCGAAAGTACATTGACAGACGAAAATAACGGGGTTGGCGACTCCAATTTATGGACAGAAATAACGAGCAGTCTCCGTAACGCACGTTACACGTATCAATGATCGAGCTAAATAATAGAGCCAAGAACTATTCTGCTGTCACTGTGTTTGTTAGCGCATCTATTATTCGAACTGTTTGGCGCTCGGAGCTAAATGTCTTCATTAGCTCATTGCTATAATGATGGCGGCTACATAACACATAATATTCCGGGGTGAAAGGTTGACGACTTCATCCTTTTAGCATTTAGTAATAACGAGTTTTGATCTATAAGCATATCTCAGGAATATCTGAATTCTGTTTAAGCCGTACCAGGATCACTGCTATGTGCTGAAGCAGAAAGTGATACCTGTAAACACTGTAAGGCCAACATTGAAGCTTGAAGTTACATTTGTGAATAAGGCGCAAAAATCTTCATGGTAGCCAAGAAAGAAAAACTAGGCAGTGGAGAAAGCTGGAACAGCGAGTGACAAGGATTGGGATCAAATATGCACTTATCGCCTCTCACCCTTACCAATACTAACATGAAACCCCCGTAATATCTCAATCGATCTATCTGATTTTAGTATTTAGCCTGATAACAAGAGTGACGAAGTGATTACTGTACTTTTACCTTCCTTACCCCATACATCATCCCCACCAAAGTATGCTTCGCACTTGGTCACAATCGTTTTTTTACTCTACGTCTAATCACTCTAACTATTGTCTGCTCTTGCGGGTAAATATATATCAGAGCTTCCCTACTTAAAATGACCACAATAATACAAGAATGCGGAGAAATGCGCGTTTCCGGGGCCGACGATATGCGATACATACTTGATGAGTCAGCCAGCCGTAGTGTCGACGCAAACGGTAAATTTCCTTTCCCGAATTCACCTGCCATCGATGCCTCCACCGTGAGAATTACTGCGAAATCATCTTTCGCTTACGGCGAAGTTCCGATGTTTGAGCGCTAGTTACGTTTTTGACCCGCGAGTGCACATCCATGCCCGTTCCAACGCCGGTGGATGTTATGTTCGATACCCATATGCTTGGAATGGCTCGAGCCGAGCTTGCCCGTCAGCAAGAATAGAGTCCCTGTGACTTACGCAGGCTAGATCAGCTCATGATTGTAAATTTAGTATTCTGAAAGCCAACCACCAAGTCGCGACAGAGACCTTACGCGCCCATGCGTGCCGACCTGCCGCTCAACCCGAGATCAAAAGGCTCGAGACTTGCTTTTTGAGATCTTTCTGACCCCGCAAGTCGCAACTCCTCCGACGTAACGCCACCGCCTACAACAGTAACCTCTTCGAAAGTCGTATCACTGATTAAATGTTTGTTAAATGTCGGATACTGTCCCTCTAAATTCTCTATGCACAGCGAAAGAAACGTGTCGACTCACCCTTAATGGCTTGCCGTGTGTCTCCTTCAGTAAAGCAGACTTTCGATCATTGCAACCGTTAATGATTATTACTACCAATTTAGCTTGACGTAGATGTCGAGGTTTGCACCCATGGCCTAAGATTCTCCATGAGACAATTGCTACATCGTTCGACCAAGTCACAAACTTGGAACGAGATCAGTACCGACTTCAACAGGGATGAGTGCTGCACTAAACGATCCTGCCATTTTAACGTAAGGATAGGAATTGCGTTTGCGCCGAATCGTAAGCGGCAACAGCGTTAGGGATATATGAGCGTAGTGGATTCACAGAATCCAATGAGGTTTTTGAACATGGGAATTTCTTCCAAGCAACCAAATACTGTTAAACCCCTGGTGCATCCGCCGGCCCACTAGACACTCACGTGAACTCATCAAGATGTGCCGTTGGGGGATGAGCCTCTCGCGACTGGCTCTCAGAAAGAGCCCCCAATTGTGACACGCCAATTCTCTCCGAGAACCTCGGTGTGCGCTCAAACCAAGATAGGTCGAATATCGGATGCGCTCTCTAAGCCACGCAATCGCACTGCACTACTTGGAGCACCCGTAGCAATTGAAGAAAATGGAGTAGCAGAATCGGAGTAGCCTAAGACTCTACATCATCCTCTACCGCGCGGATTGTATAAGCGATCTCGTGGGGATGGCTTACAACAAGTACACGCAAACACATTAATGTCAAAACATTTAGTATATCTTTAAATTCCGCGAGCGGTCCAATGTAGCGAGTTTGCCATCTGAATTTACAGACCGCAGACACGTTAATTGCCGCATTTTGTGATTCTATCCTTTTATGTTCATGTATATAATCTGCTTCTGCCATCTACATGTTGCTTCATATAATCATAGCTCCCGCCACAGCGTTGCACACTCAGAGCATGACACTCAACCTTATCGATGGAAAATAATAGATTTTCTCGTTGATGTAACTATCCTGGTTTCTGTGGAATGTTTGTACCTACAGCCCCTACCCCAGAAGATCGAGATGGCTATGTCAAAGAAGCACGAGGGTCAGATACCATTTGCAAAACAACAACATAACCTGTAGAGCTACGCGAAATTTCATTTGATGCAGCTTTAATAAAAACACTATTTTTCGCGCCAAAATCTTGGTATCTTCACGCAAGTTTATTGAAGGATATTTTTCACAGCGTCAGCGGTTAACATGTCCATAGCACCTATTACAACCCTTGCTTCAGCTTCACCGCAAAGCGCGAAGCTTGATCTAATACAATCGCCAATGACAAAATAAGTTGTCGAAAAGCTTCATTAAGGAGCAGCTGAAATATCCTCTTACCAATGGCAAAAGACGCTGTCAGCAACAAGATACACGATCTCGCGCAGACGACTTACAAAGGGCACAATGTCGATAACATTAGACACATCAACCTATCGAAGAGTTTGCTCGTGCGCACATTGAGCCACCACTATATAGCGCTTATTAAGCCGTGTGTCGCTCCTTTTTCGATGTGGTCAGCCACAGTAGCTTTATGCCTTACACAATATTCTGTTTTTAAGTACTTACCCGGAAGTGCCACCACATATTCATTGTTACGTTGAACAGATCTACAATACACCAAACTACAATATAGTCGTTGTGTGAATAACCAATTGCTCTTATAAAGCGTCATTTGAGCTCAGATAAGTTTGGCCTCAAAGTTTTTGTAACGGAACCCATGTTGCGTCCGAATCGTACAGCGTACGTATTATTTAATGGATATGAACGGTTCCATAGTGAGGTACTACACTGTATAGTTTGGGTGGCATGAAAGAGCATTCGTCACAATATTAAGTCGGTCAGACCATACCTTGCTTCAAATGTTCCCTCATCAAGGAAGGCTAACCATCTTGCCAATCTCTGCGAGAGGTGTGCGTTGAAGGCCACTTCTACCCCCTCCAAACCATTTGACATCATTACAAGCTGGTTAGTTAGAGGCCGTGACATAACGGTAAATTCTAAACTAGCTAACTGGGTTGATCAAACCAATTTTGTAGACCCCTCTCAGCGACACTGATCGTTCTATCCTAGGATCCGTATTTGCAGAATTTGCCCGCATTTTAAACCTTTGTATAAAGCAGTTCCGCACTGTTATTTTGTCTGCACCGGGCACACTATCCTTTGTTAGCAAGCAGCTTATTTCAATCTAGATAAAGAGAATCGATTGCGAGCATTGCGCAAGTGTACTCGTGCATGTAAAATGGGATTCGCCTTAACCAACACATGAACGTCTCACGCCTATATCGTCGAGATATATGGAGGTGGCCTTTAGATAGGCAGGTACGCGTCGCATACGTATTCAAATCCTAGACCAAAAGCAGCCACTCATAGAGCATTTCGTAAGAAGTACACAGCAGTAAATGATTTCACTCAGTCCCTAGCGCAGTTAAAAATACTCATCGACTAGTTTGAGAGCAATAAAATTGGTGCGACTGATCATACTAGTTTGATATATCATGCACGATTCTTTAATTGCTAATTTCAAACACCGAATATCGGCACCGAATGTTAAATTTGGTTTCTTTAAGCCGCATCTTTGTATATAATGAAAAAAGCTACTTTAGCCTTTTATGTAAGTAATATTGATGATTGAAGTGTTTAGTACCGCAGAGAAATTGATATAGGGAAAAACCGTGACGGATCTCTCGATATAACGTTGTTATTCTCCTTCGGCTATGAATTAAATGAGTCCGAAAAATCTATCAAGATAGCCGCTCCAAACACCCGGAATTCCGCAATAACGGAATTATCCGTATCGGATGATCAACTCAACTTTCTCCCCATACCAACCCAGCGATTATGCCGTTCTGCATTTTCTTGAGCGTGTACACAGGAGATTTATCAGACACTCAACAAGAGCTATTACCGACCGTAACGAGAGAAAATTTACACTTTTAAGACTAATCTGATCATTACATTCACGATCAAAAACTTATATTTGCGACAAAAAAGTCTTCACGCCCCACACAATGGGCGCGGCTCGCGATGTTGCTGTCGCAGCATTACCACTTAGCCGTTGTCGTAGATGACCTACGAAGTGCACATATGAGAAAGTACAGATGCTAACTGATTTATCACAGTAACACAGTTACGTCAATGTACCATTCTTAAAAACATTTGGATTTGGTTGCTGTATTTGCAAATTACAGCTGCCTGGCTCAACCGGTTCTGACCCAGGATAACGCAGTGGTGGGTCGCTCTAACTCGTTTCAACGGGATCAATTCTTAAAGACCGCCACACCCAGTCGCTCGTAATGGCTCACCATTATTAATCTCTAGGGATCGAAGCTACAAGCTGTAATTATTTGTCTTGTCCGAGAAACGCATTAGTTACAGCGAATTGTCATCGGTGTCACCTACTTCATCAAATACGCTTGAAGACCGCGATGAACAATCAAATGTTCTTGTATTATACTATAACTATGGTTCATTACCGCTTCTACTTCAAGCATGGCTCAAAGCACTCAGCAATGTCAAAGCTATTATCGTTAGCATTCCGACCTCATGCACAAAAACTATTTCAGTTTCATGCTCACGTCAACAGCTATTTGACTTCTTAGCAGAGGCAAAATCTTGACCAATCAAAGATCGACTAGAAGTAAAGTGCCTGACATTCAATGTTTTGACCTTAATCGAACAGTAGCTGATGACGTCCCAGTCACACCGTAGGATCTTGTCAAGTCTTCAATCAAAGTCTGGGATCGATCTGTGTCCTGAGCTGTCAAAGTAACAGCTATCAAACTTATTAAAAGGAGATGAAAGAGATTTCACGCTGGCTTGATATCTTAGCTTCTGACAACGCGACGAACGTTTGGGCGTTTGGGTGCGTTAATTTGGCATCTTCATGATTTCTGCTGTCCTAACATTGTACATTATTGCACGATGCTGCTGAATCTATCAAGAATTTCCACGGTCTTACAATGGTCGGGACGTTGATGTTAGCAGCTGAACAACCTCCCGCCTCACTCAAAAGCACTCGTATCGATTGACCTTGACTCCCACAAGATACGTAAGACAGATTTTTTCAGAAAGGACTGGTGCTCAACAATATCCTGGGAGAGGCTTGTAGGTCGAGGTTCACCGTTTTGCACCTATCATTGGAGAGAGAAGGGGTTGGGCGGACATTGTTTATTTTGGTCCTACTTATAATATTACACCAGCGAATACCACAATGATGTTTAATAGGCTACTGATCGCTGTTTTACTCCAGTTTGGCTGAGGTCGATTGCTTTCGATGCGATCGAGGATTCTCCACTCCTCGCACTTGAGCCGATAACTGCGATATGAAAGTTGTCCTCTACACTCGAAGCACTACTCCTTTAAAGTATTTGGGTGAATGCGAAAGATTTTAGCGCGAAGTGCACCTCACTAAGCTTGGGTAGGTGGTTCGAGATTGGTCGCCTCAGCATTTACATATAAATAAATGCCTCTTCTGCGAGACGCAGAGGATGGATTCGTACGCTATACCCATGAGCAAACTCAAGAATTTTTGAAGTATCTTAGTGGTGAGCTCATTTTTTTATTTCAAGAGCGATATTGATTCAGAGTCAGGTAATATATCTTACTTAAGATATTTTTGTGCTAGTAGCTACGATTCCAAAACGTGTCATGATGTATAACGTGAAGGTATCGCAAGCCTCATTCACCCTCATCCGTACCAAAACTTATCATGATATTCATTTTTGTAGATATTTTGATACTTTGTCCCGTGATAATTTACATAATCTTGCATCATTATTATGCCTTAGTAGGCTCGACTTCTGCCGATTTACGGTCAATCATCCTTTAACCATTTACCCAGGCCAGGCAAAAAATATCATGAGATGGACGTACCAGGATGGGCAGCTCTACTTTTGCTTTTTCGATTTTGCTTTTTCTCGATAATATTTTGAGCTTTTCCATATGTTAAGACTGCCCTTCGATCTACTAATCTTTTCCATAACTCGAGCATAAATGTGATGATGGTTCAGTACGAAAATTGAGACTATGACATTCCCTGCTGACCTGAGATCTCGTCTGAAAGTGAGCAAAGAGATTGTTTAAGTTTGACAAGTAACAAAGATCATGACCACGCTACCACGACCCGTCGTACTTGGCTTTTGTTTCACTACAACGCAAGTTGAATGCGTTAAATACTGTAACAAAAATGTATTATACTCCTTTAATTACGATTCCGCAACAAAATCAATCACCAGAGCTGAGATTAGCTCTTGCGCTTTATCGCTCGTCCGGCGCCAAAAGCGTCACCGCGATTGAAGTTGTGCTGGTCAATAACGCACTAGTGTATCTCTCTACAGTCGAGCAAACGCAGGTCATCGCATAGAAAATACCAAGACGCCCTGAACTAATCTGAAGCGCAAACACATAACTCAAGTCATAAGCGAATATATGGTCAGTAGCTGCTAAGTTTCGTACAAATAGTAATTACCTTCACCCGAGGCAACAATCTTTACTGGTCTCCGATCAGTCGCCAGTCGTCGCTAGACGCTAGTGGCGAGGTGTGATGTTCTTTTTTCTGTTATCTCATACTAAAAGTGTTCACGTGCTATGTCCATTCTGTTTTTTCAGGTCACATTTCATCATACGCAGCGATTTCCACTCGGAACACGTATATCCAAGTACTTTAATGGATTTTCAGAACCTTTTCGAGGTACGGTGGACCAGCACTCAGACATGACAGACTTCTATCATGTTTCATATGACGATGGGGATAGTGAAGAGATGACCGAGGATGACGTAGAATTGCATTTCCTTGAGCTACCAAATGCAAAGGTATCATTAAAAGCATCTAAAACACAATTTCTTGAGCTTAACAAGGCGAGAACTTCACCCCGTGCGCCGCCAAAAAAAATTCGGGTGAGCAGTGAGAGCAGTTATAACGTCTCATCACGAGAACTTTTGGCACGACCTATCGCTGAACTCGATCGAAACAGTCGCCAAAACCCAAAGGTACTGAGTCTGAACGTAAATGCCCCAGGACTGGTGCGTAATAACACGTTTTCTGGATCTTCCACCTCGAGTGACGAGACCCAAGAATCATTACGTGTGTCTATTCCTAAAGAAACCTTCAACGAGGAAGAAGAAGGGGTGGAAGAGGAGGAAGAAGAAGTATTTGGTGCTGAAGATGAAGAAGACGATGACATTTCGGACGGCAATCCAGAAGAGATTAATCAGCTTATTGGTAAGCCTGTGGAGAGGATAGTAACGAAGGAGGGAACTGGTCGCGACGTTGTGCAAGGCGCTGTAGCAAGTTATTTTCCCGCCACCAAAATGTTTCGTGTGATGTACTTTGACGGTGAATGTTCGGATCTGACGTATCACGACGTATTGAAAAGCATCCCGGTAGACTTACTTCCTATGAATATTAGTGAAAAAAAGAAACGAAAAGCAAAAGTTCATAATGGAAAGAAAGACGGAACGTCCAGTGCTAAATCAACGTCGTCAAAGCGGCTAAAGACATTTGAGGTAAATCCTAATAGTGTAGCAGGAGACAAATGCGGTGGTTCGCCATCATCGCCTTCAACTCCAATTGTCAACGTAGCTGACATGTCGGTGATCGATAATGTCGAATTTAACATCGTACGAAAGGTGCTGTACATTATTGTAAGTACTACAAACAACAGCATGATGGAAGCACAGCTTGAAGTTCTTTCCGCAGCTTACTTAAAGGTACCTAATCGCAAAACAATTTTCTATTGTGTCTTTTTGTCATCTTACAAGAGTTGCTTAGGACGAGGAAGCTCTTCAAGCGTTCGTTCAAAAGGATGGTTTGATTTCGTTAGCCGAGCTTATATCTAGATGGGAAATTCAGGTTGAAGCGGAGCAAGGCTTGCTGCTCGTATTAAAAGTAATGTCTGGATTGATATAGCTTGAAAAACCAGCCGATCTCTGACTGCTTTGATGTTCTGTAAAAAGATTCTTGCAGTTTTGCCGGGCATTACCAAGAGTGCCATCATGGATAGTGGAATTGGCAAAAAAGTAAGGGTTGTGGAGAAGCGTGGCACTTACAAAGATTTGAGCATACCTGGTCTTGCTGCATGGGTCATTCAAAAGATGAAAACAGACGTCGGCGCTGGGAAGGAAGATCGGGTTCAGAAATTGAAACTGAATGACAATCTGGATGATGGTTTAAGCAGTCAGAACCAACGGGCGAACGAAAGAAGGCAAAGTACTAACGTTAGTCCACGTGGTGATGCCGAACTTAACGCTCGTCGAGCAGACTCCAAATCTACTGTTAGTCCGCGATTGGGCAATTTGAAGGCTCAATCAGTATCAGGTGATAGCGGTATTGGCTTATACAAATCGAAATCGGCTAAACACTTGCACACGTTGATGAGTATGTTCTTGGTTGCTGGTCGATAGTGTAGATCTTTTAGCTAATCTAAGTTGCTGAATGTGATTAGATTCGCGCACTGGCAGAGACACTAGTACGCCTCGTCGTGATCGTGACATTTTCGGAGAGCGTTTGACTAACCAGAACAAGCGAAGATTGGGATCAGCCCAAAATTGGCGAGCACGACGATCTACTGTGGTGTTGGATCAGGTAATGAAGCGGATCTCAGAGGCCACCCAAAAATCCGATATCATTAAGCCAAAAGCAATGGATGATGATTGGCGGCCGTCTAAGATCTCGTTTGCCGACAAAGATTTCGTGTGTCCATTCGATAAGGAAGTGGAAGTCTCAAAGCTGCTCATCTATCGTGTACCAGGATCGACGAAAGGCTTGGATCACCCACTTGTGAAGCCCCAAACAGGTGTTCTTCGATCAATTCTTCGGATTCGAATACCCCCTGACACACCATCGCAATCTATATTCGAGGATTTGAATCTAGCTCCTTCTAAAGTACAAGCAACCGAAAGACCAAATTTTGAACATATTGTAATACCGGCGCAGGCTACGCGTGATGAAGTGGAAGATGAAACACCTGAATCACCATTCTGTATTTCGTCGAGACTTTCAAAGGTGTTAAGTCCAACAGAAAAAAGAAAGCAAGATACTTCTTCGTCTCCTTCCTCTCTTACATCCGCACAAACGCCACCGGAATATACGGAGGAAGTAAACAGAGGCAACCCTTTTGGCGAGGGCGAAATGTCTGCCATCGAACAGAATGTAGACACTCTACTCGAGAATCGCAATGTACAGTCGGCTGAAGCACCAAATACGGCGATTCCGGTTTTATCCCCCGTAGTATCTGAAGATGAATCCTCCGATGAAGACGAGGCGTCACCAAAAGGTGCAGATGATAGTGGCCGGGAACCAGAAGCGACAACTCTCACTAGCTTCGCGACGGGAGTCATGGAGGCCTGTACAACAAGCTACAATCACTTCAATTTCGATCCGGCTCACAAGTGCGTTTAATTGTGTCTAGTAATAAATGCATACTCTCGCCTTTCATCCTCATTGACTCGAGAGTGCTGCTTATCGAGAATGGGCTGATCTAATGTAATGCAGATCATTTCGTTAATGTCGCGTTTTGCATACTTACAGCGTCGCAAAAGTCGTTTCTTCGCGTTATTGCCAGCACGCTAACACGTAGTTAACCATACATATTCCTGCTTGTGTGATACATCCTTGATATTGAAAAAAGGAAAGCGTAAGAACACAAAATGCTACGGACACAACTAACTATTCTAGGAATTAATGGGCTGGATCTTATTGTATGGAGCAAGCTGAACGATGCACGGGTAACAGCTTCAATGTTGAAGCCTTTGCAATGAGGCTAAGTTGTATATCTCATAGCCCACCAAAATCGCGAATGTTGTTCTGATGATAAAACTATTCTATTATGGAGGTACTTGAGCACTAGATGACAAAATGCAAGGAACTTGATCGGTCCTTGGTCAGCAAAATAGATGCTACCAGTGAGATTGCACTGAATATGCAGCGGGGCTGCCGTAGCGTTGCGCTTAGACGATACTTAGAACAAGTACGAGTTAGCAGATCGCAATCCGTACTCCAGGAGTAATTATTGCCTTAACCCAAGGCAAATTACTCTTCCGTTTAAAATCCAAAACTGATTTTTATTTAGGGACAATAAAAAAAATGCCCCAACTTTTGCCATATATAAAAAAATATCTCAACTTTTCAAAAATAAAAAATACCCCAGCACGTAAATTATCACCGGGAAGCCATAATATTACACAACAGAAGATGTATTGTATTAGGAATGAATTAGCATAATTTA